TTCCGTGATCGTTTCAAAGTTTGAAACTATTCGAACTTCAGAAATTAAACCTTTTCATTCGCGCCGTAGACTGGACGTAGCTTGCGACGAAGTAAATGACGACAAACGGGCGTATTTAGTACACGTATCATGCGGCCATTAGACGCGATGTGAAACAATTTATAAGCCTCGATCCACTTTTTGCTATTTCAGAATGCCTGTTTCCCCAGAAGTGGGAGGGCACGTGGTTCCAAAGTGGCGTGAGGCAATCAATATTAATATCCAAGAACGAATTATCCACCAAGGGCAGGTGTCTGCACAACGAAGGTGACAAGTTTCTCCTGGTAGATCAGTGAGTATATAATCCGATTCATTTTTTCTTATTTGTCGGAAATATCTGCACAATTATTACCAAGTACTTTAAGTAAGATTATCATACGGTAAAAAGAATTGATAGACTACCTTAGGCCGATGGTTTTATTTTAATCCGACGTTTCGACCACGCGACTTGTGGTCCTTTTCAAGGAATTTAAGAATCTACAAGTTTTTAAAGGACATTGCGGCTTAAAAGTGTATCGACTACAAACGAAATCAACATAAATCAAAATACGAACACAGTAAAGATTATTATAAATGCATTTTTTTTAAATACAATATTTTATATATTTTATATAAACAGAATAGTTTAATGTATAGAATTATATTTTAATATGACTTTCTGTTGTATCTCGACTTATCTTCAGATAACAAAGAATACAATAAAGTACGTTTTTCATAGAAGAACTAAGATTAGATTATTTGGATTTTTATTGCTAGCAATTGTAGGTATTTTTTTATCTCTGAATAAAAATTTGTAGGTCAAAATTTGTAGGACAAAAATATTTCCATTTTTAAATTAGTTACATTGTAATAAATAATCGAAAGCAATAAAGGACCAATATCTCTCGAACTAGTTCAATATTGGTTTCTTCGAGTATCGAAACAAAATAAAAAAACCTATCGATATTATTTATTTACTCGTACATGTTTATTTTAATCTCTTTGTGTGTCGCAAGCAATTGTAGCGAGACAATTTTTACTCTGAAAAGTTTCTATGGAGCTATTTCTATACAGGATTCAGATAACATGTATAGTTCATGCATCCAACCGATCAAAGCCTTAGTTACTAAAGCTAATATGGCGAAATCAGTCGACCGAATAACCCGGATTTCTATTTTTTTTTATCTCGAGCAGCGGTTTATTCAATTCTGTAAAATTGACGATATCGTTTGAAAAACGCGCAGCAATATGCTTCGAAACTTTTTTGTCGGAAGAAATTCGATAATTCTTTAGATAATATAAGACAAAACTTGTCACATTAATTTTCACTTAAAAGCAACGCTTATTTAAAGTGACTTATCGAAAGGTAAAAATTGTGCCACGCGATCCGTATCGATGACAACGGTTCTAATTTTTACGAAAAAGAATGTCTCCTCTCGAAAACGGGAGGGAAGGACGCGACCCAGAGACATAACGAGTCTAATGAAGCCTCGGCGGACGCCGAGCTTCCGTTTCGCCGTGTAATGCTCGTGTCACGCGAGCCGGCTCTCCAAGTTTTTGCGAAGATCACTATCGGACTCGCCTGTGCAAGGTGTCCGATCGATATACCGTCAAACGATATGTAAAAAGTTGCAAAAGAAACGCGCCGTGAGACACGACAGCGAAAATTCAAACGTCACCGCATCCCTTCAACGTATTGCAATAACAAAATTGTACGGGGTGAAAACACAACGGGACTGAGGTAACGTTGGCGTAAACCGTTTAATAAAGTCGCGTTAATTATAGCAATTATGAAAACCAGCTTGCTTTTTATTACCATAGTAACGAAACTTTTTTTTCCCCCATTCAACTCTATGGAGATGCTGGACTGACAGCGCAATTTTCGCTGAGATGTTCGATAATTAAAAATGTATTATTCGAAGCATTTCATATTGTATTTTGATTTAAACGTGAGAATCAAATACAGCGGGATATAACTCTTCTCTCTTATCAGCGGCAACGTGAAGAGGAACGCGAATTAAGGCGGATCTCGTCGTCCTTTTTCTGTTTCAGGAAATCATGCTACCGTTGCGTCGTCATTCACGAGAAGCATTCCAACGTTCTGCAGTACAAAGAGAGTAAGTACGAAAGAGTGCGAAAATAAATGCGCAAAGTGCCGCGGTGTCGTCATTATTTCGTCGGGTCGATAACGATTCGCCGCGGTGGCCCTTGAAGAGCCCCGCGTTCATTAGGATGCCGATAATTAAAAGCGATGACGCCGGGAGAGGAAGGGCGAGAGAATACCGAGTGAGTCGTAGCGCCCGAAATTATTCTTCGAGCGGGAAACTTGACGATTTTCCGCGCCGTTGTGAAGAACGGCGAGACATTAGGAGAGCCGTTGCGATAACGAATTCCGCCCCGCGACTACCAATCTCGTTTACGTATCAGACCCGATACACACTATGAGTTGGCTCACGCTCCGCTCTTTTGCTCGTCTCTTCTCTCTTTCCCTTCAGCCGTGGCTGGAACGTTACTCGTAGCGTGAATACTTAAGCCAGCGGCACACGACGCCGTTTTGCCTACTGGATTGCTTGCAAGAGTCAATCGCGATTTAGCTCTAAGTCACCCGATCTAAAGCCAACGGCACACGTATACTATTTTTCCGACTGGATCGCTTACGAGAACCAAATAATAAAGCCAATTTCTAATTGCTCACGATTAAAAAATTGAAAATTTCAAATACCAATAGCATTGTCATTAGACTTCTGACCTGAGTGTTTTAGGTATGAAAAGGTTCTGCTATGCGATCCGCAACTTATCCTGGCATTATTTTGTGCATGAAAGCCAATAAAAAGATTTACCAGCGCAAAAACTATATTCGAATGTGTCGGTAAAACAGATGACTTTAGGATCCCCTTATACTTCATATACCTTATATCTCGTGTTAATATGCCGGGAAAAATGTCCTCTATCAGCATGTAACTCAAATCTTAATTATACTTAAAAAATTGCACCTCGAATTTTGCGGCGCTACGCGATACAAGATTAAGAGTGTAGCTCTTGGATTTGTCACCATCAGATCGAAAGGATTAAGTGACACTTTGATACGCGCGGCGAAACAATTCGACGTACCACGCGATGAGGAAACTCACGGCGCGAAAAGAGAAGTTATTTGTTACGAGCAGCCGCAATTACGCGACGCGTCGCGGGGGTTGCAATTGCAGAACTTTCGCTTCCGGAGCTCGCGCGGCAGTCGACCAGTCCCGACGCGACAATTTTGAACAATCCAGAAATGTATCTGCCCCAATGCAGTTTTATCGATTATCGAGCGCGAGCCATACGCGAGCACCAAGGAGCAACCCGAGGTTTCGCCCGCCGGATGCGATAGGGAGCGCCGGGGTTGCGCCGTGCCCTGCTACCGTCGTCCGACTCGCAGCTCGGGTTGGCGAGGAGAAAAAAGCGTAGGTCAACATGTACGAGCGGAAAAAGAGCGGCAGCGTCCGCGCTGGATCCGCCTCCTACGTCTCGCGTCGGCATTTTTCGACGATTTGTCAAAGTCCCCCGCCCCCCCCCTCCCTCCCGCTCCCTCCCCCTACCCCGTTTTTCTTCTCTCCTCTCGTCGTTTTATCGGGCTTTAATCTGCATAGTGTCACGCCGCGGGCACCGTCGCTCGCAGACTGCCTTCGTTGAGCACAGTTTGTCGTCGGGGGACGGGGAGGGGGTGGAGGGAAAGAGGGAGGGATGAGGGAACGAGACGAAACGCGCCGCGCTACTTGCTATCCTCCCGGCGCGAATCCGAGCAACTCTCGGCTGCGCGCGTCAAAGCGCGGACGCGAGAGTGAAACGTCGAAACGCATTCGCAATATTTCCACGTATGACGTATACTTTATTAAAGAAAACGCGAATCTCGTGGAGGAGGCTCCGGCGCGCGTCTCCGCCGTAGCGTGCCGATAGACGCGCGGGACTTTTCGGCAAATGTGGCGCGTACAATTGAACAAATATCACGCGTGACGTGTGCCGTTGATTTCGGCACGCCTGAATACTTGGTCCCGACACATCCGCGTTGTAAATATTTTTGCCGGGGCCGAGGCTGACGTAAAATTTCGCCAATCTCGCCCAGCGACGCTCGCTCGCGTTGCCGGCAAAACAATCCGCTGGAAATATTGAAATGACGAGGGAAGCTTTTAAGCGATCCGAAAACTCCCGGCCGCCGCCAATAAAGAGGTAGACCGAAGACAAAAGGTCTTTTGCTCCATTTTTCGCTGGCCGCGGGTAACACCTGCGTGCAGAAAAGTTAAGTCTCTTTGCGGAAGCGAAGTCTTCCGCGGCAGCCCCCGCCGCTCTCTGCCGCCGGGGTGCGCGGGGAAAGAAATCGGAGGGAAATATCTTCGGTTAAACTTCCACCGCGGGTATGAACTTGCTACTCAGGAAGATTCGTCATCGTCCAACTCGACCTGCTTCTTCCTCTCTTCTCCGTCGTCCTCGTCCTCCTCCCCCGGTCTCCGGCCCCCGCGTCGCCGGCGATATAAGAACTTTCCGTTATCCGGCAAAATTTTTATTAACGTCGTGATTCCCCGGGGGATAGTCTCCGTAAAAAGAGATGTAACTGCGATTATCGTTGGCTCGCTCGAAAAATGATACGCGCCGTAGCGAGAGATTTGTTGCCGCGGAAACTTTTCCGAGGGCGAAGTGAAGCAAGTAATAGGACGGCTTGTAGAGGCTTTTATTCACTTTACGCTGTACGAGTGATACGTTATCATCAGCGATACGAAATCCGATAACGGCAATATTGCGTTGGAGAAAATTGGAGTTTCCACGATGTTACGGGAGTCCTAATCGTAATCTCCCGAGTGATCGTAACAGTATCCTGTCTGTGGAGCTCTACGGACTTGGGCGAACGCGCGAGCGCAGTTAAGTGTATAAGCCCCGAATATGGCGGTTCAGGTGCATAATTGCCCTCTGTCGTGGAAAATAAAGTCGCCTCCTTTTGTGCAGCTACGCGGGAAATGATATCGTCAAACAATCGGATTCCGCGTTAATTATTCCAAAGTGGCTCGTCTCCCCTTTGGAGCGTCGCGACTCGTATCACCGTCGTGCCTGCATATAACGCGGACGCGCGTTTGCAACAAACACGCCGGATGCATTTAACGTATCTCTCATTTGTAATACATAAATTTCAGGTCTTTTCATTGAATTATTTAACGCACCTACTTCTGTCACTCTCAACGTCGCGCGGTTTAATGCACGACGCCACATTCGCCGGGTAACGAATACGTTTCGGGGAAATTTGGGTCGCAGATTTATGAAACACCGGTCGGATATAAGATTTATTATTAATGTAGGGTATATATCGTGCGCGCGCACGCGCGAGATGACGCAGCCGGGACGCGCATTTAATCTCAATTAATTTTCTCTTGCAGCTTTTTGCCACAGTAGGAACTCTCTGGCGTCTCTCTGCTCGTACATTACGGGGGATGCGTTGCTGTACTCCATGTTCCGCGAGGAGGCACCCCCCGTCGCGTGCCCTTTCCGCGGCCCCATGACCTTTTCCTACAACCGTGGCCACGGCACGTGCTCGAACCCACCGAGCAACGTCGACACCTGTACGGACGACAGCAGACTCCTCTTCAAATATCAGGCCTGCCCCGACGTGCCCGCCTCGGAGAGCGCAGGTAAGAGACTCCTCGTTTGCTCGAAAACCTCATCCGTGTCTCGTGCACGGAAAAACCAAGGCAAAGATAACGAAAATTAAAACGCTGCACCGTATAAATACCAGGGGCATCTACATTGTTTTGTGTTGCGACATTCACTAAAGGATCGTCTACAATAGATGAAGTAACAAGTAAGAGTAGGAGTAAAGAAATGAATCATTTTCGTTTCTTATTTCTACTTCAGCTCTGACGCTTACTCTCGGCGAATTAGAGCGCAGTTCGACTAGAGACCCTGCAATCAGAGACAGAGATTTCGTTTGTCTGAAAAAATTAAGCTACAATTTATTGTTCGGTCCTCGAAGGGCAGAAAAAGTGTGAATGCACGAGCAAGCTTTTTCCTCTCCTCCTGTCTTTTTTCACTTAACTTTCTTTGACAATTCTGGCGTGCATTTCTCGTTTCAACAAAAATGTAACCCCATGGCTTTTCCGCTACGTACTCAATATCACTGAAGATTAAAAGTCTCCGTGTTTTTTTTTTCGCGAATGAGCTTCACGCTTTCATGCTGCTGAAAAACGTGAATACGCCCGGAAATTTTTTGTAAAATTTACCGCACTTTATTTGTAACCGCGGATGCTTCGGAGCATTTATTGTATTACGCATATATGCAAACGCGATGGATAATCGTATTATTACAAATTATGCAAACGCGGGTTTTTTATAATCTTCGCGGTTCTTTGGCATACTGCGTGCGGTACTTAACATAATTCGTAATAAATATTACAACGTGAAATTCTAATCGCGTTCTGCGCACAAGGTATTTTCTATTTCCATATTATTAGCATCGTGCTCTTAAATTTTCTATACATTTATTCTTAAGAAATTGAAATCAAGATTACCGGCCAGGTATCGAGGAAGATGTACGTTTCGCGCGTACATGTACCGGCAATTTAATTTGAACAGCGCGACTTATCGGCGCGATTGATACCTCGTATGCGAGCAGCCACCTCGGCGACTCCAGACCGGCCATCATCGGTTTGTATATCTTGCGCGGTTCAATTAAACGCTCGTTATTCGATGGATTTGCATTTAATAGCGCGGCACAGCGAGATTAAATTTGTAGTCAATATGGGGTTTATATGTCTATTTTTGACCGACGTGTGTTCAATTTAATATATTGCGGTATAATCGATACCGCCGATAATCCGTTTCGAAGCAACGGTAGCGTTGTCAATTATACCAAGTTACAGTGCAAAATGTATGGGCAGCGTCTAAATATTCATCAACCCCGTCGATTCCGGGCCGCTATTAGGGACTGCTATCACCGCCAGATGATAGGGGGGTAATAGAACGGAATATTCATTTCTCTCCGTGAATGTCCTTTTGGTTTAATCATTCGCTACGAAGCTAACAAGACACTTTTATGCTATTCACGTCTCCCGAATGTCTTCCACTTGAGCCAAGGTTTCCATAAATTCGCGTGTCTCGCAATGCGATTTGCGCTTACACACGCGCTACAACTATACGAGGGTGGGTTGAAAGGTTTCGAGCCTAACGTAGAAATAATTTGTTTTTTCGGTCAAACTCACCTTTATTTTTCGACATAGTCTCCTTTAAGTCGATACGCTTAATCCAGCGGTGTCCAACCGCTTTAACCCGTCCAAATAATAGTTGGCGTCTTGCTCTGTAAAATAGGCATCTACGGATGCCGTTTACAGTTTCTGTTTTACCACTAAAATCATAAAATACCAAATATTTCGCTCGACAAGAAAAAACTCATTGCTCGTCTACAAAGGGAACGGGATAAATTGTCATTGCTAATAAAAAAGACGTTATTCACTACTCTACGTCGAAAAAAATTCAATGCTGCCAATTTGAATGGCGAGATCATCGATTTTTTACGAAACCTTGGAATATCTGCGTGTATCCTTGATAACAGGACGGATTAAAAGAGTCTGTGCACATCATGTAAATACAGCGAACGATGTGAATAAAAGAACCGACTGGCGTTCGTGTGCGGCTTTTATACCTGCGTTTTCTTCTATTTTCCTCATCGCGTTTGATCGGATTTACTTTCGATGCGCTTTGGTCCTGCGTTTTCAAACAGCCACCAAAATGGAAACGGTTTCGTTCGAAATCTAACCGACGAATCGTACCTCTAACGAGCACTTTGCGGGGGAAAAAAAGCGATTGCGAGTCGGTCAGGCGGCAGATTTTTCAGAATTAAATCGACGCAGGGATATTACAGTTCTTTTATCCCGAATCGCGCCATTCACGCGAAAGGGGACGTCGTCAACGCCTTCCGTTTTCCCAACTTCGACAACCTGTTGAGAAACCGATTTACTGATAGCGCGATGTATCGTCATCGGCGAGCGCGGAAATTTTTATCCACTCGTTTGAAAATTCATATAATTCGATGTAGCGATTAAAACGTTGCGCGCGTTATAGAGAAAATCGGTTTTATCGTTCGACTGGTGCTTCCGAATTTTGTGACACGTAATATTTTAACTAGCGGACAAACACGCTCCTCTGTTTGCATGCGAATCGATTTAATTAAAAAAAAAAAGAGGAAAGACAAGTTGCACATATGCGTGATTATTCAAATTTTGTAACGCGGCGTACATATATTGTTACACCCTCAGAAAGGATTTCTGTTACCGAGACAAAAAGTATTCTTGACGCATTTATATTTCTCGCAGCCTCAGTTAGTATACAAATAAGACAATATCAAAATAAAATCAACAATTCTTATTCTCCTCTAGCGAATTGAAAAAGATTGACTTACTATATCGAGACAAGAGTAACTTGTATAAATGTCAGTTTATATATTGTTGCGTTTTTAGAATAAATTTTCCCTCCATCTTACAACGAAGTCGGCACCGCGAGATATTCGACAAAAGACGATTCTAGATTTTTGAATTTTTTATTTAAGACTAAAATTCTCCTTTCTCTATAATAAATATGTTTGGCGCTAAATCGATCATATTTTATGATACATTGAAGTGCAATAGCATTGGATCCAGAAATTTTTCCGTGGGTGTATCAGATAGTTTTCAGAAAATTCGACATTTAAGAATTCGTCGCTACACGGAGAGAATTTTTCTCTGAAAATTTACCCTGAAAATCACGTGATCGTGGGACAACGTGGGACATTGTGGACAACTTCGTGACAGTTTTTTTGAAATTTTATCATACATTTGACTAGTAATTACACTTAGTACATATTTTGCTAGTAGAATGTACGGCAAAATTCCAAAACCTCGTAAAATTCTTCGAAATGCCAAACGTTGTCCCGCGATTACATGATTTTCAGGATAAAATTTCAGAGAAAATTCTCTCCGTGATATTATTTTCAAAGTTTCCAATAAATTTTATATTATTGATGAATCAGTTGCCCATTCATCTTTTAGCCACGCGTGGCTGGCACTCGCGTTTAAGACGGCGAAAAGAAAATCCGAGCCTTCGGACGCGCGGGAAGAAAGGCGAGGGCGCACAGAGGTAGAAGCACCCGGAGCGAAATCCAGGAATAGGTCCTTTTTTCCAAGCGTTACTCTCAAATTACTCGGAGATCAAAAAACCGACTCTCCGCGGCGGTCAAGCGGGAAGATAAAAAGAGGTGAGGAGGCGCCGGTCGCGACGGCAGTGAAAGAGCGAGCCGCGAGAAAGAGCCCGGAAAAAGGCAGACTTTCGCGCGGCGAGATGTGATTTAGATACGCGGTCCTCAGGATCCCGGGCTGCCTCTATTCGCGGCTCTAGGTGGGCGACCAAAGGGCGAGGAGGTGAGAGGAAGCGAGAACGAAAATGGCCCGAGTGGCAAAGCGGAACTGAACGAGCGGCTTGAACGATAACATCTCTCGCTCTTTGCGTGGTCTTTCGAGCTGCACCTCGAACGTCCGGTTCCGAACCGATAATTGTCGGTCTCGTCGGTCGCCGAGGAAGCCGGGGGGATATCTAGCCGGCGACAGTGCTCGGAGAGAATCCCGGGTATCGTTTTTCACGCGGAAATCTCCCCGAGCTCTCGCTCCCGCCGAGTCGATCGCTCGCTCGCTCGCACCGTCAGGTCTCTTTCCGCGCTTCTTCCTCGTTCATTCGTCTTCTTCTCCGGTCGTTCCTTTCCGTCTGTCGTTGAATGCCCCGGTTCTCCCAATGGCGCTTTAAAGAGCGCTCTGGGAAGCGTCTTTACGGCGACAAGCGTCGGCGATGGCGCGCCGCGGTCGCTGCGCCCGAAACATTTTTGCCGCGAATAGCCACGGCTATACAGCGATACTCTCGGACCCTACACACGCTCTCGGATCTATCGGGTATATATATCTTTCAACCGCGCCGATCCTTTGACGAGTTTCAGGTCAGCGTTTTCTTAGCGGGAATTTGTATACTGAAATAGTTTCCCCATCCTACATACAAAATAGCATAAAACTCGCCTGGCCCTCGGAAAAAGACGCTTAAATCAAAGCAAAAACGTCCCTCTTGTCGCGCATCACGAGCACAGAATCCGCGGGCTCTCCTGCGTCTCGCAAAATTCCAAATGTAACGTCAAGGAAACTGGGAAAACTGACTTTGTGACTCGTGGAGAAATGATGACTTTTTTGAGCGTCGATTAAATATTTCGAGAAACGATCTTCTGATGGACAAATTAATCAGCGCGGCTTCACATCAGCGTTTTCTTAGCGGGAATTTGTATACTGAAATAGTTTCCCCGTCCTACATACAAAATAGCATAAAACTCGCCTGGCCCTCGGAAAAAGACGCTTAAATCAGAGCAAAAACGTCTCTCTTGTCGCGCATCACGAGCACAAGATCCGTGGACTCTTGCACGTCTCACAAAATTCAAAATGTGACGTCAAGGAAACTGGAAAAACTGACTTTTTGACTCTTGGAAAAAATGTGATTTTTCTTTAGGGTCGATTTAATATTTGGAGAAACGATAGACAAATTAATCAGCGCGGCATTTGAAATTAGTAGCGTGTACAGCGATTATTGAGCTCTCGCTCGAGGAAGCGATACGTCTCTTTCGTTCTATTTTCCCGTCGAGCATGAATTGCTGCGTTTTCATTAAAACTGCACACGACGAATAAAAGTCCAGCGGCGAAGTGAAAATGGATATCGAAGTATGGCCGACGGGCAATGGTCAGTAATCGCAGTAACGTTTTTCACGTGGAAATCATGGCGGTCGTCCGTCTACGATCGCTGGAGGATGTTCGCCGGCCGTCCGGACGCTCCTCGCCTCTCCCGTCTCGTTCGCCGCTTTTTCTCGACCGTTTGCATTGGCTCATTCCTTCAATGGCGTTTTCCAGGAGCGCTATCGAAATCCTCTTTACGAGGCGGCGCTTCTGGCCCCTGCGAATGGCCGATAATGGGCACGCCGAAAGAGTTACTTGAACGATTCGCCAAATCGGACGTTCAGTTTTAGCCGCGGTGTACAGCGACGCACTCCAAAACTAGAGCGATCAATGTCATTCTGTGCTGCGAAGAGGCAAATCGGCGGCGATCGGGAGGCGTCGCGTGCTTCTCACTCGCGCGATATCGCTTGCTAACTTGAATTTCAATAATTTAATCAATATAGAATTTAATTCGTTATCAGCTTCGTTGAGGAAACGTAAATAGCAGCGCAGCAGTTGCGACGCGAGTTCAATAATGATATCACTCCGCATCCAATCTGCTACTGTAGCGACGTTGTAAAGTTTCCGCAGCATCCGAAGCTACGGCGCACGTTCGGAAGATTTTATCCGAGAGCTGCTCTCTCGAGCAACGGGGATCGTTAAGCAAGCGCCATTAAGAGCTTCTCTTTCTGTTCTTTGTCTATACGAGTAGTCGCGCCCGTGTACGTAAGTCGCAGAATAAAACTTTGGGACGTATATCGGGCCGAAGCTACGGCCGCGCTCCCGAGAGCGAATCTAGCGTGTAAAACGCCTGAAACTTGGAAAGCGTGTTTAGCGCGCACCGAGCGTCAAACTCAAATTCATTTAATTTTGTTGCTCCAGACAGTTTAAACATAAGAGCGCGCGCAGTGTCAGGCCGCAACCGTGCTTCCGCCATTATCTTGTAACGCGCTTCGAAACGCTAAATGCGCTTTCGAAGTTTCAAATGCTTTACACACGCTTCCTGCGCCCGCGCTGTAAGAGCACACACACGGTGCTCGGATCTAAGCAGATCTTAACAGTGATCGGGCGCCGTTGACAATTTGCTAGTTTCGCACGTAGAGATCCCGCCGATATCGCGCTCTCGCAGGGGGATTAAAGAAACTCCAGCGGGTCCGCCTGGTAGTTTTCGGGAGCTTTAGCCACTTGAGTAGACAGCGAGAAGAGATCGGCTCGAGGATCGTTCGTAGAAATTCGTAGAGGGGCGGTTCGCCGGATTCGCGCGAATACACGTGAGCGGCCGATACGGGAACAGCATCCGGATTTTGCGCGACGTTCCGATACATCGCATATGAGAAAAGGCGCCTGTTCCGCTCCTGCCGCTCGTACGAACTCGCGAACGGACGGTTGGTTTTGTGGAACTTGCGCTCGCTTAAAACTATACTGTCGGCCCCGAAGGTTCTCTCAACTAGGATATGCTCTTTCGCGCGTTTCAGTGGAGGAGCTGGAATGCCTGGCCACCTGGAAGGAGGGCAGCAGCCGTTACCTAGTCGGTCGTCTGCATCACGGCCACGCGTCCAGCAACGAGGATCGATACCGGTGCTTCGTCTACGAGAAGGCAGGGCAGACGACGGTGCAGAGTAACCTGAACAGGGCGGCCATGGGCATGGGCACCATGGACCACGAGGTCGCCCTGCCGGGCGGCCCGGTGCCCGAGGGCACCGCCGAGGTATACCGGGTGGCGCAGAGCGGCGACGCGACGTGCAACGGTCTGTTCAGTCCTATGGAGGGATCCCGAACGATGACCCTGAGGAAAGGTGAGTCCCTTATTGCGCAGTACAAAATTACATGTTAATGTTCACATTTTTCGCATGTCCCGAAAAGCCCACTCTACATTTTAACTTTAAATAATATCCATCGCGAGCGTTACTTTCCGACAAATTATAAATGTTAATTGGTTAACGCATCTTCACAGCTTCACATTTATGTTCTTTTAACCTCAAGCGCGACGTAACGAAAGCAGACGGGATAAGTAAACTGTACGAATGGGTACAAATTAGAATAGTTGAAAGAATTTTTAAGAAATGTCGATATTACACGTTTTGCCTAACTACACGTATGAGCCTCAGTCGTCATCGAATAGTCGCAGATATTTGGCGGATGGAAACGTTAAAAAGTGTTTTGATTATCGTAAGATATTGCATTGGTAATAAATCGTGTCCGCGAATTGTATCTCCCGTCCAATTGTGTGATTCATCGTCGTTAAAATTTTTCCATTTGTACCGCTCTCGTAGATTTTAATTATTACAGTGTAAATACGTGCTTGACGAGGATTCCCATTGGAACGCGGACGTTTCAATTTATCGTTATTTTCTGTCCGGCTGGATTTTTGAAATTTTTTTTTCTCAACGACTCGCCGCCGCCCGCGCGCTTCCCCCCCCCCGAGCGGATGCTGCGTAACGCGATCTCGCGCCTCTCGCGTAACGTCTTAAAGCGAAATGTGTCCGCGGCACTCGACAATATTAAATTATAACCTGCAAAATGCGAGCCGGAATGCAGTGGCGGTAACGTAAGCGCGTACTTTTAAAGAATTGCTAATCAACGTACGGGGTTTTTCGTTCCATGAATAAGAAGAGCGTGTTTGCACGACGTCTGGCGGGGTCGCGTTCTACAACGCCCCGATCCCCTCTCGTCCCCGCTCGCGCATTTCCGTCTTACTCGCTTTTCATCTCGGGGCTCGCAATCCCATTTCGCTCCGTTAATGGATTCATATATAATTACCGGGGCTTCACGCTCTTGCATTACGCTTGATAAATATCATCGCGAAAGGAAAGATATGAAATTCTCGGGCGATGAAAGCGGGCTTTAAAACCGGCGCGGAGCGCCGCGGAGGGCCCGCGTCGATCGGCAGCGCCGTTCCTCTCCTCGCGGCGTTCGGCCGCCGTACGCTTTTTCTCCCGTTCCGCGACGTGCCCGGTGCGGCGCCGGAGGATAAATAACGTTGGATTAAACAACATCTCGTAATGCCCGCTCCTCCGTAGCCTTTTGATCCGAAACGTACACACGCGGGGGATGTTTCGCAGTCGTAAATATCCCCGTGTTTTCTTAATTTCGCCGTCGCACGTCCGGCCGGATGCTCGGAGGGTCAGCGGCGCTCGATACCCGGGGCGTAATGAATGTTATCGCGACATCCGCCGAAATTATCGCGCGAGGGACAAAAGCGGCTCGGTGATAAACAGGGTTCGGACGTGGCCGTCGCCGCTTGTATCTGAGGGAATCGTGATCGTTAAAATCGGGGGTTGCGCGCGCGCGCGCGCGGCACACGCGTTACACGCGGCCGGGCAGCGGCTATACAGCTATTTCCTATCCGGTGAACGTCCACCGAAAAATAACCGATCCCCCATTGTTATTGTTGCGTAACAGCCAATCTCCCGCCTCGCCTCGGCGCCATTACAATGCCACGTGAGTTGACGTTTTGTTACGTTACCGCCGTATTGTTGAATGGACAGAGGCGGCGCGGCCCGATTATGCTTGATTCGCTCGGGCGATGCGAAAAAAGCGAGCGAGCGTGCACGTAGAACGCGCTCCGAATGAGTTTTGTCGAGTTCTGTCTCGTATCTTCCGAAAATTCCGAGACTTTCGAAACTCTCATATCGCGTCTATAAATATAATACAGCTTAAATTAATTAAATCGACCTCAACTGGCGGTGCCGTAGTAATAGCAATGCCCTCAGCCAAGAAAACTAGAGGCCAGGTGACTAAACTCCAGTGTTGGGGGTGGGTCAAAATATGGTCGCCGGCCAATTCATGAACTACGCGTGCTGGACTTCGGAGCGTCGTGCAACATACTTTTATTCGGACCCAAATTGGAACGTTTACTCCCACAATTTGCAATACAACACACTTTAGACATGATTTCACTTCTTTGACACGACGGTTCGCAACAAACAACGTAAACGAACTTTGGCGCACGCGTAGTTCGTGAATTGGCCGGCGACTATATCGCGAACAGCGCCCATGAAATGCGACCACAGTTTGATCTACTTCCACCACTGATTTAGGCAGGAGTTTAGTCTCCTGGTCTCTAGTCTTCTTGGCCTCAACTAAGACGCGCCATTTACTAAGTTTTCGCGGAGAAAATAACGAGTCAGGACTAGACCAGGACTGGACCGCGTGTAACTGGCAGAAAAATGTCCTTTATTTAACAAGGGTTTAGGCCCTTGTCAAGTGGGATAAAATTCGAACAATCTATCAAACATGACGATATGCCTTTAAGGTCGTAAATCTGACGGATGTATAATAAAATGTGTCGTGATTACAAAACAGCGGTGGTACAGAATAATCGATTAAGGCCCGGTTTCACCAACGTTGGTTAACTTTAAGCTTCGCTTAATTCTTCCTTTGTCTCTTTTCGACTGTTACTTCAGAAAGAGACAAACGTGAATTGAACTCAGATCAAAGTTAAGCGACGTTTGGTGAAACTGGGCCTTAGGCCCGGATTCACCAACGTTGTTTAACTTTGCTTAACTTCATTCGTTCTTTGTGTCTTTTCGGGCTTGAAAGCAAAAATGGACGAAACAAAAATGCAGGCGGTGAACGTTAGACGCGCGCGGGCGAAAGGGGAAAATGCGGGGGGTGAGCTGAAGGAGATCGATGGTAACGCTATTAATGCTATTATTTGCATGACAAAGCTCACGTGACGCGATAATAGGGTTTCCCGCAGGCGATGACAAAGCCCGAGGCCCCGATGATGAATCGCGGTAACCGCCTCGTCCGTCTTTTTTCGACTTGTTTCGCGCAAGACAAAACTGCAGGCACGCGCTAATCGAACGCGTCAACACGCGCCGCGAGTAAGAAGAGCATATTTGCACGACTTTTCCCGCGTTTTTTTTTCTTTCCTTTTCTTTTTATCTTCCCGTCCCAGTCCATCCGCCCGCCGGGCCCGGCGCGTCCCTCCATCCCTTGCCGCCGCGCTCTCGAGTTTGCAAACCCGTATCTTGCCTCGCGCACAGTCTCACAACAAACTTCGTTAACGGATTTCACTCCGGTGGATTTTCGCGATCCTCCCGCGCCATCTCCGGCGCCATCCAGCGTTCCCCTCTTCTCCCCCCTTTCTCTGTCTCTTTGCCGCGCTCATCGCGCGCCTCGCCAATTGCCACTTTCTTCGGCAAATCGTTTTAAGTCGAGTGGGAGTCACCGACACGCGCATAAAACTCACCGAAGAAAAGAAGACGAGGGAGTGAGAGGGGGGGAGGGCGGGGCAAGAGGGCCGGCGACGAGAGAGAGAGGGAGGCTTAAGGACGCAGTCAGAGACGAGCCTTGGGGGATGCTTGTAAGCTTCGCCGCCGTTAATATTACGATCCGCGTCTAGGAAAAAGCGCGAAGGTAAAGGCGGAAGGGCAGCCAGGTGAAGGGACGCGGAAAAATGGATTAACATTGAACCTTTCCCGCTTTACCCTTCGTGCCTCAGCCACCTTTTGTTCCACTTCGCTCTCCGCAGTTCGCGCACGTATCCCGCCCTCATCTTCCGACACTCGCGAGCCCCTATTAACCGCGTCTGCAGCCTCGGTTGGAGATCTGAAGTTTGTTCAATTAGCCCGGCATCTACTTCGCCAGAGTAAATATCTGGGGAAAACTGCGACTTGAGACACTCGCTCGGTTGGGGCAAGAGTCAAGTAGTTAGGCGGACGGAGGGACAAATTGCTCCAATTATCCGATCGAAAAATTTCAGGAGCAACGTTATTTCGAATTGTTGTGGAAAGACGGCGGTCGTGCCAGTTTTCGCAGCTTTCCGCGGAAAGTATTTTAACCCGAGCTTTGTTAACGGTCCGAGGAATGCGGAAAGTGTTAACGTTGTCGCTAATTAATTAACAGTAGTGCAAATAAAATCTGTTAAATCTGCGTAGTAGACAAACGTTCCAAACGGTATAATTTCACAAGTCCTTATTAAATCGTGCAGATTGTTTAAATAAAAAGTGCGCTGAAACGGAGAGGAGGAAATTAAGTGTAACAGTCGCCAAATATTCGCTTGTCCCAGCCAAAAAAAAAAGAGATAACGCACCTTTGTCTTTCTGGAAGATTTGTGCGGCGGACCGAAAAGGTTGTTCGAGTAAAAATTGTCAAAACGTAAACACGAGTAACGCGGTGCACGTTGGAGACGCAAAGAATTGTTGAAAAGCCAGAGATCAGGTCGGAAGACACGTATTATACGTAGTTCACTTTACGAATGTGCGATTTATATTTCGCTCTGTTCCACGTTCTCGGATTATCAGCGCTGCCGAATTGCTCTAACCCAATTCGGTTAGGATCTACAAAAGAATATTGTGGATATAATACAAATGTTGGAGCGTTTGTCAAACGCGATTGCCAGTAACGGTATAAATGTAATATTCGCACACGGTGAAATCGACGTAATTCCCCGCACGTGCGTACGCGTACATCCACTCAATTATTAATTCGTATATAAATTCATAATCATGACATCACGCATATTCCACCGAATTACCGTCGCTTTATCTGCATTACAATTACTTGTAATTCGCTCAAAATTGCACGAAGCTCGATTCAGGCCGGTTAAATTCATTCAGCGCAGTCTCCCCCGTCGCGCCGACCCTGTGTGCCAATTTTAGGAACTTAATTTCCGAGAAAGAAACACAGCGTCGATCGCCGATGGTTTTAACGCCACCGATTATCTCGTAAAGGACAATGTTCAAAGAAGAGCCGATTTTTTGCTCCTCGGGGGAATGGATGAAACCTACTCCGTACATTTTCTACGCATAAATGCAAACCAGAAATGCACCTAAGACCGCCCAGAACTTTGGGGAAAACTTTCGGCAAGCTGTTGACTTGTTAAATAAGCTGTTGAAACGGAACCACTTTTCCAGTTTTTAAGTTGATCGAAACGCACTGAATTGAGATTCTCCCCGAGTTCTCACGGCTTTCAATAATCTGTGATGATAAATAGAAGGTGTTTATAAGCTCTGAGCTTTAGAGCTTATCACGTTCCTCGCACAGGCCGAAATCTCGAAGGATGATCAATCTTTTTGCGGAAAAAGCAGTCAAATGGCGTTCGAGGGAACAGTGCTGATCTGAGAAGTCAGAAACTGGAAGCTAGTAGCAGCCTCAAGTTTGGACTGAATGAGCCATGCTTAAATATTCAATCCCCGCGCTCGCGGTTTCAGATCGATCGCTCGGGATGCAAAAATCAAGAGTGTGCTCGCGACAATTTTGCATTGTCAACGGATGAATTGGAACGGAAGCGCGAAAACGGATGAGATCGCGGGAAAGAAACGACGAAGCTCGAACCGGCAAAAACGCGCGGCATTATTACTATTATGTTACACGTGATATTATGTTACACGTTTCGCCATATGCATACTGGTAAAAGGAGCGGGGTGGTACGTGCCGTTTGTATTTTATTGTTTTCTGCAATTAATGTGAAAGAAACGGCACTGGGACAATATGCCATTTGTATTTGCAGTATAAATCATTTGATGGAAATTTAAATGCGTTTCACCGAAAGAGCGCGATATAGGTCACCGGGGCACGTGTGATATGTAATATCGTACCTTTTGTTTGTTTTTTTTACGCGATACGCAATTAAAAATTTTCACGTCGCGTCTCTTTCGCTCGCGCGTGCGCCGCCAAATGAATAAATTACATGGGTAACAGTTTATCTGACGTGCAATGAAAAAAAAATACGGACCAATCAATAAATATCAGCGGGCGAAATGAAAGAAATGACACGGGGGACCGTGTTGACGCGAGTCTGCAAATAGCGTTTGTCAACGTTATTAGTTTAGGCGAAGCTTGATGGAAACGGGCGAATCGCGGCGGTGACGCGCGAGGGATCGTTCCCGTCTTGAAAAGGGAACGGGGCGGGAAGAACTCGGTTGGACGTTTACGATCGCAGAATTTGTATCTCGGTCGTGGGCGTCGCGAACGTGCTTATCGAGCCGAGTCGTTGAATTATTTCCATTCATTGCCGCGCGACGTGCAACAATGCCTTTATACGCCGTAAAACCCGACCATACGCCGCGCGCTCCGTTAACCCGCTCGGTCGACCTTTCGCCCTCGACCGTACCCCTCCGCCGTGGACCACTCGACGCGAATCGGGTGACCTCCTCTGACGCTTCGGTTTTACGTCCCACTCGGACCGGAAGTGGAACGCTGGCGTATGACACGGCGGGGTTGTTGCATCGTCAGTGCATTCGCTACTGTGGAATGAGAGCGAAACGGGCGAAGGGCGGGGGGAAGGGGGAGGGGGAGGAGGCCCGGATAGAGGCGTATTCGTTGGACCGCGCGGGGTATCTGGTGTACGATTCTGCCTCGCTATCGGAGGGGAGTATCGACGTCGTCGGTTTATCGACTCCGCCGTATCCGCGATACGAAGGACTTTACGGTGAGCGGCTGGTGGAGCCTGTGCGGAATTTTTCGACGGTGCCGCGTCGGCCGACCGGCATCGGTCCGACGTGGCCACCGTTGACGTCGAAGCCGCGGCCTTTACGGACGACGAGCCCGTATACGTGGATGGGACGCGTAACGATCGCCTGGAGAATCGTTCGTTTTACGAGAGCTGCGCGGAGAGAGACAGAGAGAGAGAGAGAGAGAGAGAGAGAGAGACAGAGACGGAGAGGTTCCAAGTAAAGCCGCCCTTTGACCCAACACCCCGATAGGATCCTCCGGTTAACGAGGAAACGCGAGCTTGGTCGCATGCCGTCTAACGAGGAAAGCTAATCGCAGTTTTTTCGTCAGTCGAAAAACTCGCATATTCAAATAGAAGAGGATTTTCTCCGTGAAACGCCTCGGTTAGGATGTTTGGTCATAAAAAGATGCAGCCGTTCGTTCCGTAGAATTAATTTCTTCGTCCCGTAAATCGCATCGAGAACGATGAGGTGTCTCGCGTCTAAATATGGTAAGGAAGCTGTTTATCGATCTTCCGTCTGTTCTACTCGCGCGGGATAAAATTGGCATCGTAACGCGACACAATACTTTTGATTAGACGCGGAAGCGCGTAAACAATTGACACGTGGCGTCTCTTATTTTAGTCTCGTCCCCGGGCGAATGTCGGTTCCCAAATTGGCTGACTGGACACTCGAGCAGCGGACTGACCTGGCACACTCTGGACCTCGGCAGATCCTACACGTTTCATCCGCGAAACGCGTCCCTGCATGTCGTCAGATCAAACACGACTTCGTCGAGTTTCGAAGGCGGGTCCATGGACCTGCAATACGTGCCCGGGCCGGAGGATCAGGACGTCAAGATCCTTTGCAACAGCATAAAGCAGTCGAACGGCCCGCAGACGATGATAACGATGATAACGCTGGTGGCGCACTTCACTGTCGGCTGGTAAGACCGTCTTATTTCTGCATGTCTCATTTAGGCCCAGTTTCACAGTGGCTAGTTAGCTCAACTGGTTGTTAAGTAGTGATTACAGTTACTTATTTTTGGTAACTCTAACTTAACTTCGTAATTTTCCCTCCAACTGTAACTGTAACTTAACTCAGTTACACTTTATCGATAACTAGTAGATAATTTAATAGTTACATTAACAGTTACCTTGTATGTATATTTTAAACCTCCACAGATCGCATTAGGTCTTGCATTTACGCATAAACGCTTTTATCGGCGCTTTACAATTCAAATATAGATTTGATATTTTTCTTTTCGTTTCAAGAAAGTAACTACAACGATTCGTTACTTATCGAGCAACTGTAACGCGTTACTCTTCAGAATTGGTAACTTTAACTAGTTACATTTTTAGTGAAAAAAGAACTGTAACTGTAACTAGATACTTTTATAACGTAACTTTCTCAACCCTGGTAAGTATCTACATCGAGAAATTATTAGGAAAAAGCGGAGGATGCGTTTATAGTTTATTTTTTGTTCAAATTATTCTGTTTTTACAATTCCTAAGGCTCCGATGTGAAATCACCGATTCGAGGGAATAAAGGGACAAGAGCCAAGACGGGATGTTGAGTGACTAGATAATTTTAATTTTAACATTTATTGCGAAAAATATTACCAGGGTATATTATTTTTTAACTCTAAAAAGACGCGTCGCGGCGAGTCGGCGAATAATTATTGAAAATTGTACGAAAACAGAAATGTGTCGCGCGGGGATAAAAGTTGTACGGGGAGAATCGATTCGCGAAATCGCGATGACAATTTGTAATTCTAATCCGCGCCCGCTCGCCCGTAAATATCTCTTCGGGTACCCATAGCGGTCGCGATCGAAGCGACGGGATATATTCGCTCTATGATCTTTACGGATCTTCGCGCCCTTCTTTTTTCCAGTCGGAGCGGTTTTATGTGCATGACATTCTACCGGAGAGACGGCCACGTGATCGAGCTGCAAACGGGAAGCGCGGTATCTAGACCGGAAGAAGCATGCAGCCCGCCGCATTTTCTGCAGCACAGCACGCCTTTTCTCACCTTAGTCAGTGAGTACAATTCTTCTTCGTCCCCCGTAGTTTGCGCCTTACTCGCGATGTGTCTCGTCGAGACAAAGTTGGGCGCAGCTAGTCTCACGTTACTGGTACGCGCGTTGCATCCTTCAGCGTCTCCGCGCGGAAAGTATTGCGATTGTTTGCGACCCGCCGAAATTACCTCGGCGGAGCTCGCGACGTTATCTCCGACCGAGGATCTCCCGAGGCGAGTCGCATTTAGCGCGTGGTACGAAACGGTACCGGGTTATCATTCCAAAACAAGGACGAAGCGATCGCTAAACTATCGGATTAACGTAACCCGATAAGCCTTATCCACCGCACGAGGGACCGCACTCGCGATATCGTATCGATCGCGAGACGCCCATCCGATCGGGCCGATCGGCGCAGCCGCTTGTTCCGCTTGATTTGCGTGGCTGCGGAGTCTTATCCGATCCACGTAAAGACGACTGAGAACGAACCACTGGCGGGGAAAAGAACGTGGGATAGACCGGACGGCGGGAGGGCACGGGGGGGGGGGCAAAGAGAAAAAAGGAGTTGCCAAGTAAAAACTACCCGCACCGCCGATAAACCCGAGAAAACTCCAACTTGGCGGAGAAAAAGTTTTCGCGCGGCGTGGCACGAGGATTTAGAGCGCCGACACTAGGAGGCGGCTGGATCAGAAAGAGGAAACGAGATGGTCCGGGAGGATGGGCCTGGGAGAAAAAGAGTAGTGGGAAGAAAGGGGGTGAGAAAGAGAGAGAGAGAGAGAGAGAGAGAGAGAAAAGGAGGAAATCGGGGGGGGGGGAGGACTGGCCGGACTCGGACGATTTGTCAAAATCCCGGCGAACGACTTATAAGTTACACACCGTAGCTATCGTTGGCCGGTAGCTATCGCTGGTCTTGGAACCGGCGCCGAGTCATTTTCGTTCGTTTATCGTCGCTCGCGTGCGGGCTCGCGCGCGACTCGCCCGCGCCGGCCGCAAGATCGCTAAGATCCGGGCGGGCGCCTCGAGAAATTCAATTTGCCGGGGAGCGTGCCTTGCGAGGCGCGTCACGGAAACCCGTTGAATCTGACAAGCTCGTGATTGAACAGCGTATTTTCTTATCATTTAGGGGCAAGCGGCCCGGCCGCCGCTCGCCGTTCGTCCCGCCGCGACCCGATTGCCCGAGGGGGCGATATCGTGTTCGACATATAAAAAGCAGCAGCAATTATTGCGACCGGCGCAACGGATTAATATTGTCTACGTGTCTACGAGTTGGGTATCGGGCTTGCGAATTCTCTCTCTCTCTCTTTCTGTCGCTCCACGTCCCTCCGTCTCTCCGCTGGTCACAACCTAGCCGATTCCAGCGGCTATATCGGCTGATACGAATGCAGCCCGCGCTGTTCTCCACATTCGAGCCGAGCTCGACGAAATATCGTCGTCTCCGTTGTGCCGCGAAGAAGAAAGCTGCCAACCTTCCACCCCCTTCCCACGGACGAACGACCACCTTTCTAAACTTCCCTCCGACCGTCCCCTCCCGCTCCTTCCCGTCCCAACCCCTTCCACTTAATTCTTCCTGTCCCGCGTCTCACACCCGCCATCTTCTCGGAATACGATCGGTTCCCGTGGGCCAGAGTTGTAATCCCACGGGAGTTATTGGATTCGGTTTGATCCACTGGTCGTTCGTCCCCCTCCCGCCGCGTCCGCTCCCGCCTCTGTCTTCTTAGATCCTCCTCTTTTCCCGCTTTATCCTTCGTTCCGTATCGAAAAGCTCGGTCCGTCGATTCGCGCCCAACGGGAAACCGCACAATCCTCACTCGAGGACCAATGGGGGGGGGGAGGGTTGTAGGGGTTGCGGCGACTGTCGGCAATGAATCGGTGTATCGGATAACGAAACACGCCGCCGTTGACGGTGCTAATAACACGCGGGCAAGATAGCGGCGTCCCGCCGATAAGAATCGCACGGTGAATCACGATAAATTGATGGGGAAACGGAGGCTTACTTGCGATTTCGAGCCGCGATAAATGACGCGAAATAAATGTAATGGAATATAAATTAACGCTGCAAAAGTTAATAACGCGCGTCAGGGTTATTGGATTCGAGATCATCGGCGGTAATTAACGAGCTGTAATACTCTGCTGTACGTGTGCTATCACATGAGCGTGACGCGCGCGCGCGCGCGTGTGTGTGAAAATCGAATAAGCTCGTTTGAATTATTGACGAATCTCGGCTAATAACACAGAATTGTCATTTTCGAAATTCGAAAATGATACATAGATTAGCGCTCAATTATATATTAGATTTCCATTTTCGTTTAGAAATCCCTCTCCCTTTCTCTTTCACTCTCTCCCTCCTCGTACGAGCGTTGGGTGCTTTAGTGGGGCCCTTTTGATGTTTACAAATTCATACGACTTTTCATTAAAAAATATCACTTAATGCATTATTGATCAAATGCATTGATATGCTAGGTTATATGTGCACGTTTGGAAACACATTTAAAAAGTTGTGATATTGTCAAGTCTCAAAGAGCTGTCAAATTTCCTCAAAATATTCTATCTTGTGACTTTACTAATAAGTATTTGCTTGCAGAGGTCGGTGACCTCATATACTTGACAGCACATTTGGATCCTCGTGACATTTATATTTGGATCCTCGTAAAATGTTATATTGGGTAGGCTTCATAGCAGCTATCTTTGCTGGTGCACTACCTTTTGCTTGTATTGTTTGTCAAACACCTTATTGTATATGGCAAAGCAATAAACATAATAATAATTTATTATGTTCATCTCGTTTTTTGTTAAGAGCTACTTTTTCTATAAAATAATACAATTAAAATTCCAAATTTTATTCGACCACAGCCGTGCAAATATTTGTTAATTTACCGGTCAGTGCAGAAAATTTATTGCGAAAAATATTACCTCAGCCAGGGTTTGAACCTGGACCTCCCTGCACTCTAGGCGGGCGTCTCACCAATTCGACCACCGAGGCATATGATATTTGTCGCAATAACAGTGTAAAGATGTTGTCTACGCGTCTATTTTTTCGACTTTAATAAAACTGCCGCTTATTCGTAAAAGTTGCAAATTGATGGGCTATAAATTTCTCGGACCGAGTTCTAGCATCGTGAACACGAAGTCGATAATTAACGTTTTTAATTCCGCCTCCTATCGACACTAATCGAGTTCGCCAGTGGCTTTAAGATCCATTTAATGTTAAAAAATACAACTTTAACATTTCTTCTGCATTTTATTTCATCGGCGACCGGGTCTGAAATTACGCGTACTGATAGGTAAAATTTACAACTACAACATACTGTACTTACATTTCAATGTTTTCTACTTCTGGTCGGTTTACGCAGGAGCCACCTTAAATCTCACGCGCGCGTAACGTTTCAATTCACGATCGCCTCTCCAGTCTCCTTCGCGAAGGCGTATCCGTCAGAGATTGATTGAAGTTTATCGATAATGGCCCCCGACGAAATTTATAGCGAATTATTTCCTTAAATTAAAGATGAAACGTTCGACTCGGCTCGCCTGTCTACGATCTCGCCGCCGGTATCTTTCGCGATTCTTTCATAATTCAAGGGAAATATTGACTTCGATTTAATTCACTGCTCGTTCGCAGTTATCTCTTGTGGTTATCCTTCTCGCGGCGGGAAAAAGCATCGAAAAGCTCAATCCGCCGCTTCGCAAGAAGCAAGGAGCTATTCTGCGGACTGAGTCACGTACGGTTCTCCGGGGAGCCGGCTCTCCGCGAGAGAACGGAGGATAGTATTTATCATTCCACGCACGCGGCGCACGAAATTTACAATTCAGATGTAAAAAGAAGCGGCCTCCAGAGTTTCGTATTAAAGATTGCAATCGCAATCGCATAAACAATGACGCGGCGTAATATCACGATAATACATATAAACAGCAAACTAACGCGAGAAACAAGAGGCGTAAGGTAAGAGATATTGAGACATTATCCCTCTCTAAATTGGATTGCATTGCGCGTAATGCAGGACAATTTTGGAAATTAATGGAGATGTAATCGTAGAACGAGGAGGCCAGGACTCGGGCTCTAGCGTCATTGGAAGAAGAAGAAGAAGAAGAAGTAATCGTAGAACGCAATTTCCAAATAGATTATTTTATCACAGGAGAAAGAAAAAGGTGTAACATGTAAACTTTTCCACCGAACCGGGATTTATTTTGAAATACGCACGTCTTCGAAATAATGTAACACTCTCTTTGCCCGAGGTTTCGCCTCTGGTAAAAAAACCAGAGCAAATTTTACAGTATACGGGCAGAAATCTCAACAATAACAGCCGGTTTTCTCTGTTACGTAACCACGTCCAATTAATTCTATATGCGATCCTCAGAGTGAATTTGCCCTGTTTCGTCGTTCAACGGTGAATGAACGGTAAACGATCAGCGTATAAAAATTCATTTTGACTCTCCCGCCGTACCAGTCAATATGCGGAGCGATTGATCATTCATTCACGAGCGAAAGCTCTCCATCTTCCTTTCTCTCTCTCTCTCTTTCGTTCTCCCTCTCTCTTTCTCTGTGTCTCTGTGTGTGTGTCTCTCTCTCTGATCCAACCGAAGCTCTCCCGCTCTACCACCTCGTCTTCATAAGCTATATAATGTCCAATGCCGCAATAAAGTAGACCATCTACGAGCTATCCGTCTTTTTTCCTACCTTGCGAGATTCTCATTCCATCTCCCCCTCCCCATCCCTCGCCCTATCCCGAGCGGACTTTCCTCTAAACTTTTATGACCACTCACGGAGAGAATGGAGAACGGCGATAGAGAACGGCGGCGGCGACATTGGTATTCCGTTGACGTTCGCGAATTACACCCCGAAGATAGACTCGCCGGTGGTGCACATCGAGAAATTTTCACGAGACAGCACGAAGTTAGGGGTGGTGGCAAAGCCGCGAGCCGCCGGATTGATCGCTAGGTCCGTCGGATAAACGTCGGCGATACTAAGAGCCGAGCGGCTAGAAAATCGCAACAGAACGAGTACATAAAAAAAGGGGGGTATTTTATGAAATTAAATAGCTTTCGTGAAACGCGAGACTTCACAAATGATTATACTTGCAACGTACCCGAGCGCATTTTTAATTGTCTGAAAATTATTATTTTCT